TATACGATGTGTGGCAGGTGTGGTGTTACTAGCAAGTCAAACTGCTAATGAAATTCTTTAAAATAACTTCGGAAATAGCTTGGAGCGCCGACAGTATAATATCATATGTAGTATACGCAGTCGAATAGATAGGTAATTATACAGAAAGTGACAGCTGCAAAGCACTTAAATGCGGCCTCAACAATTTGAAACATTCATATTGAATGACCAAATGACCATCATCACACTAGACGAATTATTCATTGAACATTTGTTGCATATGTATTGACCATTTATATGTACATATTACATAAACGCTCATCTTTGTTTTCTTTCGCCTTAACATATTGAAGATGCTGTATTGAGCAAATGAAGCGCCATGCGGTATGGATATCATCCCTCTGTGTGTTCGGGTTCCTTTAGACTATATCACATGTTTAGCGGTTAGCAGTCATTCCAATGACTTCTTAATGAAGACATTTTTCAATAACTCACAAAACAGCAAGATTCTTCACACTAGCATGGACTGCTATTATGTAACTGTCCTACCTCGTCTAAAAGTTCATATTATCATGATGGTGTGTGTCACACGATATTCCTCGGAAATTTGAATCGATTCACTCAACTAGGCGATAGTTGATTTAAAATTTTCTACACTCATTTACTTTTTTAGACAATCGTATTGATATATAATGCTCTAATGATATCATACTACATCATGCCAAATCATAATTTATATGCTATTATATGCACACACAAGAATACAGGTGTGTAGATGATAAAGATAGTAGTGAGGTTAATGGCTTCAATATGAAATGCGTAATAGAAGCAAGATAGAAACGTGATATGCAAATACAGATGAAGAATGTTTGAATGATGAATGTTCAGTAATGATAACAATAAATAGATGTGATGATCAATTGAAAAGATTTTAATTTCTGAGTAGTATGAGTGCGTGCATACATAATCACAATCATCTTCCGATATTTGCATTCAACATTCACAGTGCAATTATTCAACATCTTCTGCAATAGATCAACTGTCCGAACAAAGGGTGTTTTGAGAGCAAAAGCACTTTTTGCGCGAGTGATCACTATGCCGAAAATCAGGTTTTGAAACGAAACGGCCATGAAAATGTCCAGCCAGCCATTCGGTTTCGAATCGCTCATATGTCATCCCACCCATCCTTGATTCATCTAATAATACTCGGTGAAGCGTTTTCAATTATGCATCACTATCATCAAACCAAATACCGATAACGTCCCCCACTTAACTATGATGCAACTTGTTCTTGTCTCTTTCGGTAACGTTACCAAGGCATAATATTAGCAGTAATAATGTTATCAATGATAAACAAGAATTGAAATTGTTCAGTCTCTTCATTGCTCTTAAAACCAAAGAATGCGTTTTGGCAAACAGTGGCTGAAGCTTTTGAAACAATAAAAACTTTCTTAATCGATCCAATTCGGATCGATAATCTCTATTTCAGCAAAGATTGAAGAGGAATGCTTGGCAGTTCTAAGTAGAGATGGTAGCCGGCCGAAGTTTTGTCTACTGGTAAATTCCAACCGAAATTCCATCGGATTCTGACTGAATTTTCGATTTAAATGTTTTTGTCGGATTTTCGATAATTATGGAAGTTCGGCAATTTTCGAAAGTGTTCGGTCGAAAATCTTGAAGTTCATTCGGAATACCGAATTTCGAAATCTTATCGTTAGAAAGTGTGTTGGGTTGGGTTCCGTTCAAACTCAAATTTTGTTCGGCTATCATCAACTGTGATTTTTCCACCATACAGCAATAAAGTACTGGCTAAAAGTCTTCATTCAACGAACACAAAAAGTTTGCATTTCAGCTATGTTCTCGTCCATACGTACTTACTACATCATCGAATTATATACATGATCAAGTTGTGATCACCTTGATTACTTATATCTCGTTTACTTTGTTTATTATTGGACGGTTCACTCATTTGTTTTCATATCAATAACACAATGTGATTATAGGAATAAACAAAAAAGAAATGGTAATAACCTGTAGAATTGCAGCTGCAAGCAATTGCTGGTGAGTCAAGGAGGTATGGATGGCACTTTGATTTCGCGAGTCAATTTTGGATATTCACAAAGCCCGTAAAGGGCAGCACCTAAGCAAGAATGAATACGTAGAAATGAAAATGAAATTGAAATTGCAATCGCACAACTGTAAAGTTTTCACGAATACGATGTGAATCAAATCAATCAGCTCTTCAATACCTCGATAAGTGCATTATACAATAATAAAGCACAAGAATAATGCTAGCAAAATCTAAGCTATAAATATTTGCTGCTCTAGTATTAGTACTTGTATTCGTACTAGTAGTGGTTCGAAGCAGCAACAGCAGTAGTACTACAGGGGAACATCGCGACGGAAAGAGGGACGTTTAAACGACGATCAGCTCCGAGTGAAAGTCGTTGAGTGGGCTGGTTGGCGGCTGGTTCGTTATTAGTTGCGATGAATAGATATGGACGGGACGGATAGATGCAGATGGATGATGAATAGAAAAATGAAGACGGAGAGAAGAAGGACAGTGCTTTGCAACAACGACGAGTTCAGTTCTGAGTTCGACGAATTCAGTTCGGTTCGATTCAGTTCATTTCAAGAAGCATGTAAAGTGAACAGAATAGAGAGAGCAAATTAGAATATCATAGATTCGATTACATATCGAAAGTGGCAGCAGAGTAGAGTGAGTGCAAAAGAGATATTGCAGAGTTGAATGCAACAAATCTGCAGAGTTAGTTCAGCAACAACAACAGATCAGTAGTGCAGAGTAAGAACAAGATCAATTGACAGTGTTGCAATAGCAGGAGAATATGCATCATTTGCAAATGCAAATAGCACTACTCCTCAAATAGCAGAGTGCCTGCAGCAACATAACTAGAAATGCGCAAAAAGGATTGTAAAATGAATGCACAATAACGAACGAGTTTGCATATGCGAATATATTTGTATATTATTATCATGATGAGTACGCAAAGTTCCTCAGCTCTCCTTGCTCAGCACACATTCTGCTAATGTTTTCTTCCGCTCCATTGCAGAATGTGTTGTGCTACTATGCGTGCAATGTCGCAACAACCAAACGGCTGTCAAATTCAAAGCCAGTCATTTCAGCTGGCTACTCGGCTGAATGGATGGACGGTGGTATAATGCTAACGAACGAAATAAGAAGAAGAGGCAAAGAACGCGCCATCGCTTCGTAAAGCTTCTTCATCCAGCACATCAAACGATAAACTCTGCTCGTTTCACCTCACCGAATAAACGAATAAATGATTGAATGAATGCAAACTGAAACCAAACCAATTTACCTCCTCACATCTAACGCCACTTCTATACGCAGCAACAAGCTAGCTATACAATTGCTTCCTAATATAAACATCACTACAGCTCACGTTAATATCTAAAACAACAACGGTTATACGGACAATGATAGAAATACCATTAATAATAATAATAATAAAGATAATTACTGTTTTGGCTCATTATTCGCTTTGCAATTCAAGACGCATTCTTTTGTGAATCAAACAGGTAGGATGAGATTGACTTATTCAAGAGAGTACAACGAAACATAAATATACAACAGAAACCAGGTTGAACAAGTGCAATCAAAACTGAATCTGTACACTACATCGCTAACATTACGAATATAGTATGATGATACAAAAAATACAACCATCACGAAGTTTTGAAACAGCGACCGATTTTAATTCAGTTGCTGACGAGTTACCGACCGAACTTGTAATTCTAATTCAGTTGTTACCGATTCAGTTACTCACCGATTCTATTGCTTAGAAGTCACTCTGTACAAAACTT